AGACACCTTGTGAGGTAGGTGGGGCTAAGAGAGCTCTTGACAGAAACTGCTCTTTTTCAATACCACCTCTGACAGAACTATGCCTTGCCCAAGGTCATCCAGCCAGGTGCAAGTGGAGGAGTGGGGAATCAAACCCGTTTCTCCCAGATTGGAGTCTGTGCACTTGACCACCGCACCAAAATGACTCCGTATAAGGCAGCTTCATGTGCCCCATGGTATGAAGACCCAATCCTTCTGTACTCACCAACAGTAACAACCAATTTCCGGATGCGGTTTCGTAGTCCTTGAAAGTTGTCAGGACAGCTAAAATCAAGCATCCCAGGACAATCAGAAACCTAGAACGAGAGGAGGAGGAAAACGGAATCTCAGCAGATGTTCCTTCCACCGTCAAGATCCTCCGGGTCATTTACCGTACAGAACGGTAGGGTCGGTTTTCAACGTGCGTACCTGGCAATTAATTTGTTATGATGATCATTAATTAACTTGTTAAAACATGTATACCCTGCCTTTCCTCGTGATTCAAGGTGGCTTACAACAACAGCTGAAAACACATTTCCACTTAGAACCAAAAATAAAATAACAGACCCCAAATCTCTCTCTCTCTCCCTTCCCCCAGAGAAAACAATGGCCCACTGCCCAAAGGATGCTACGTGTTGAAGCATCCTGTTCTTATGCTACTTTGGAGCTCTCCATTCAGAAATCACCTATGGTTGAGAATGTACCACTTTTGCAAACTGGACGTAACCAGCTCCTTTTTCTTCCAAACCATCAACGTGATGTAAACTATATTCAAAGTCACAGCTAGTTTCATGCTGATGAGCCACCATTCTAAAACACACAATAAATCCCAGATTAGGAATCCTGGTTTGCAGGCAAGAAGAATAGAATTGTAGCGTTGGAAGGCATCACAGAGGCCATCTACTCCAACCCCCTGCTCAATGCAGGATCAGCCAAAAGCACCCCCCCAGTGTTCATCCAGCCGCTGCTTGAAGACTGCCAGTGAGGGGGAGCTCACCACCTCCCAAGGTAGCCAATTCTACTGCTGAACTACTTGTACTGTAAAAAAAAAATCTAATACCCAGGCAGTATGCTTCCAACTGTAATTTAAACTCATTCTTATGAATCCTATCCTCTGCTGCCAACAGGAACAGCTCTCTGCCCTCCTCTAGGTGACAGCCCTTCAAAGACTTCAAGAGAGCAATCATGTGTCCCCTCAACCTCCCTTTCTCCATACTGAACGGTCCCAAGTCCGCCACCCGACTCAGACTTTTTTCAGACAACCATGTTAGCCACAGTTGCTTTAATTAAACCATGGCTATGCACAACTCTGAATTGGAACTGTTCACAAATGTTCTTGGATTCATCATGAAGGATTCCCCCACAGAGCTGTCAACTCTGTGTTTCGGAAATTCCTAGAGATTTGGGGTGAGGGCTGTATTATCCATAAGGCTGACTAGGCTGAAACCCGCAGGGACTAGGGGCCCATCAATTTTTTTTTAATTGAGGCACTGTTTTCTCTTCATAGACAGCCTGTAATCTATAACCTCTATTAATAAGATAATTAACTGCTTCCTTATTGCAGTGAAACCAATTCTCTCTTCTATTAAAACAATTATCCATAAATTATATATATTAATAAAAAAATTAAAAATATTCACTTCAAAATATTACAGTATTGAACAAGTATACCCACAAAATGTGCTTTCCTGAAGAGTTGTACTCACGCATTTAAAATATATTTAAAAATTGTGAATAGAATTCTTCAGGAGCCCCTCAAAATGGATATAGGGCTATGTACTGATCAAATTGCCAACATTCACTGGATTATGGAGAAAGCAAGGGAGTACCAGAAAAACATCTACTTCTGCTTCATTGACTATGCTAAAGCCTTTGACTGTGTGGATCAAAACAAACTATGGCAGGTCCTTAAAGAGATGGGAGCACCAGACCACCTCACATGTCTCTTGAGAAACCTGAATAAGGGTCAAGAAGCGACAGTTAGAACCGGATATGGAACAACTGATTGGTTTAGCATAGGAAAAGGAGTACGACAAGGATGTATATTGTCACCCTGCTTATTTAATTTATATGCAGAGTACATCATGCAAAATGCCGGCCTGGATGATTCAGAAACCGGAATTAAGATTGCCGGGAAAAACATCAACAACCTCAGATATGCAGACGATGCCACTCTAATGGCAGAAAGTGAAGAGGACCTCAAGGGTCTCTTGCTGAGGGTGAAAGAGGAGAGCGCAAAAGTGGGCTTGAAACTCAGCATCAAAAAAAACTTAAGATCATGGCATCCGGCCCCATCACTCCTTGGCAAATAGAAGGGGAAGTCGTGGAAGCAGTGACAGACTTCACGTTCCTGGGATCCCAGATCACTGCAGACGGTGACTGCAGCCATGAAATTAACAGACGCCTGCTCCTTGGGAGGAAAGCGATGGCGAACCTAGACAGCATAATAAAAAGTAGGGACATCACCCTGCCAACCAAAGTCCGTATGGTCAAAGCAATGCCGGGGATTGAACCTGAGACCTTCCACACGCAAAGCAGAAGCTCTACCAGAGCCATGGCCCTTCCTGTGAAGCCGCTTTATACGGAATCAGCCCCTTGGTCCATCAAGGTCAGCGCTGTCTGCTCAGACTTGCCGCGGCTCTCCAGGGTCTCAGGCTGAGATCGTTCACCTCTCTCTCTGGTCCTTTTAACTGGAGATGCCAGGGATTGAACCTGGAACTATCTGCGTGCAAAGCAGAGGCTCTGCCACTGAGCCACGGCCCCTGGTGTCAGGACAGCCGTACTTAATAGAATTTAAGAATTCTGATCTAGCAGCTTTGGAAGCTAGCCCGCTGCACCGCACCAATAGGGAAGAGCTATAGCAGTTGAATTTCTTCCTCCTTCCTTCACCTGACCTGGATCTTTTTGGATGTTAACCTTGCAATGCCTCCTGATGCACAGGCAAGGGGGAAATCAGCTAGGAAATCTTTAGACCCCTCCCCATCCACATGCCAGACAAGTCAGAGGAAGTGGTCTGACCACAGGGAGGCAGCACGTCTCCAGCTAAGGGGAAAAGGAGGAAGTTTGGGGCTCCGTTCCGAAGGAAGCAGGGAATGCAGAAGGGCCAGGAACAGCAGAAATCTTGCAGAAATCTTGCACCCCACTGAGATGCAAAATAGGAGATCTGATGCATTACAGAGTACCTTCCAAAGGTTAGGTTTTCAGCTCAATTGGGCTCATTTGATTTCTCTCTCTCTTTTTTAAAATATTTTTTATTTTATTAAAAGATAAGTCAAGTATACATAAATAAACCCATTATGTCTCAACATTACTGCATAAACATTAATACAAACTTTGAGCGCAGATACATATCTCACAATGCCTTCTATTAACTTGTCAGCAGGATCTTCGTCTTACCATATCCTTATCACTTTCTTGTGATTTTCCAATTCTTCTAAGATTGCTATCATAGTAACGTATAATCACTCTAGATACATTTTAGAAGGATCTCAATAGTATTTTGTGAGAGTGCTCAGACTATAAAAATTCTCATAGATGTAGCCATTCTGCATAGCCAGTATGTGCTGGTAATACATCGTTTTCTGTGAAATATGTTATGAGAGGACACCATTTCCTTTTTCTTTTTCTTAAACTGCCCCCAAAGGGGCAGGGCTTTATTACATTTTCCACATAACATACACAAACAATCATAACATATACATACATATACATACAAACGTACAAACAGATACATGGAGGTTATTTTCAATTTTACCAATATTTATACTGATGCCTATTCCACCTTAATAACAATTTCTCATGAACTGTGTAAGCAACTTTTCTGTCTCTATCATCCTAACAGGTATATATTTCATTTAGTAAACTCTTAGTCTGTCTCTTGCAAGCTTGCCTACATATGTTCATCATACCAATTATAGAACCGTGACCAAGTATTCTGGGATGTCGAATCTGTTGCGCCTTTTATCAATAAAGTCAATTTATCCAATTCTGCAGCCTCCAAGATTTCATTTCCTAGTTCTTGTTGTGGAAATATTGGAAATTACCGGAGATACCAACACCATTTTCGAATGAATCTGGAATGGGACCTCGCATACCCTTGTGTGTGGGACTCGTATTTATCTGCTACTTTGTCCATCACAAAGTGGTCCCAACATTTATTTCTCCATTGAGCAATGGAAGGAGGATCAGGATTTGATTTCTCTTTTAAGCCAGAAGTCACCGCAGGCAAGCAGTGCTAAGTCTACTCTTGTCTCTCACAAAACAACAGCAGCACTTTTGCCACTGTACCTCCCCTCGCCCAACCTGGCTGCTTCTTGTCCATGCCCACCACCTCTAAAAAAACCCAACATGGCTTATCCTTCTCTGGCTAAATTCATGCCAACAATCTCTTCCATCTGTCTCTCTTAAGCTCAGACCTATTCTTAGTTCCTTGGTTATAGAATGTCACTTATAGTGATGGCCACAGGGATAAACAGCT